CCTCCCGGGGTTTTCGAAGGCACAAGCGATTGTCTCCTGGCCTCAGTGCCTCCAGCGGTACCTAGGCTGGGACCACAGGGCAAACTAGTTCTTGCTATTTTTAGGTCAGGAGATGGAGGTCGTCATCTGTGTGCCAGGCTCCGATCTCAAACTCCTGCAGCGTTGCTTGGTGGTGATCCACCCACTCTCGCTCCCTAAAGATACCGCTTGGCCCCCTTCTTTGTTTCTGAGAGAGATACTTTAGAGCGAGGTGGGATCACCCGTATGGTCGAGTGAATCAGCCGGCCAAGCAATGAGACCACTCTGTACTAAAAATCAAAAACTGGTGTTGCCTGTGGTCCAGCCTACTTCGGGGAGCTGAGCAGGAGACAATCGCTTAACCCCGGGGGAGGCGGAAGGCAGTGAGCCAAAGTACACCCACCTGCCACTCCAGCCTGGTGATAGAGTTAAGAGTCTTAGCGCGCAAAAAAGAAAAGAAACGCAAAAAAAAACGAAGGCTGGGCACGGTGGCGTCCAAGCCTGTAATCCCAGCCACTTTGGCAGGCCGAGACGGGTGGATCACAAGGTCAGGGAGATCGAGACCATCCGCGGCTAACACGGGTGAAACCCTGTCTCGCACTAAAAATATAGAAACAAACTAGCAGGCCCGAGGTGGGTGGCCACCTGTAGTCCCAGTCTACCCTCGGGAGGGCTGGAGGCAGGAGAATGCGGTGGGAACCGCGGAGGCCGGAGCTTGCAGTGCAGCCCAAATTGCGCCACTGCACTCCAGGCCTGGTGACTGAGGCGAGACTCTGTCTCAAAAAACAAAAACAAAACAAACGTAGAGCAGAGGAGGAACATTTCTGCATTTTTCTCTGAAGGTCGTTCTCAAAAGCGGAGTCCTTGGGTCACCCCCAGCCTCTACTTCCTATCAAAAGAAAAAAAAACACCCTCTGGGACCGGTTACATTAAGCGTTCCCCTGCCCTGCGTGGCTCAGTCTTCTCACCTATAAAATGGAGGTAGATAGCCAGGCGCGCTGGTGGCCTCAAGCCTCTGCTAATCCCAGCGCACTTTTGGGAGGGCCTTAGACAGGCGGCATCTCAATGCTCAGGAGATCGAGACCATCCTGGCTAACACGGTGAAACCCCGCGCGTCTCCACTAAAATAAATACAAAAACTAGGCGGGCCGAAGTGGCGGCGCTGCTAGTCCCTGAGCCACCGTGCCCAGCCTTGTTTTTTTTGTTTTTTTTTTTTTTGAGATAGAATCTTAACTCTATCACCCAGGCTGGAGTGCAGTGGTGTAATCTTGGCTCACTGCACCTCCGCCTCCCGGGTTCAAGCGATTGTCTCCTGCCTCAGCCTCCCAAGTAGCTGGGACCACAGGCAACTAAGTTTTGTATTTTTAGTAGAGATGAGGTCTCATCCTGTTGGCCAGGCTGATCTCAAACTCCTGACCTTGGGTGATCCACCCACCTCGCCTCCCTAAAGTGCTGGGATTACAGTGAGCCACGGTGCCTGGCCCAGAATGCAATTATTCTAATAACAGCACCTACTTCTTGAGTGCTTTCTGCCTGCTGATTCTTCTACATTTAAAGGCACTTGGCATCTGTCTGCTTTCAAAGCTCAGGGCAGTCCTGAAAGGTGAGTTCTGGTGTCTCTCTCTCTCTCTCTCCCTCCCTCCCTCTCTCTCTCTTTCTTTCTTTCTGATGGAGTCTCACTCTGTTGCCCAGGCTAGACCACAGCGGCGCTATCTCTGCTCTCTGCAACCTCCGCCTCCCGGGTTCAAGCAATTCTCCTGTCTCAGCCTCCTGAGTAGCTGGGACTACAGGCACCCACCATCATGCCTGGCTAATTTCTGTATTTTTAGTAGAGATGGGGTTTCACCATATTGACCAGGCTGGTATTGAACTCCTGACCTCAAATGATCCACCTGACTCTCAAACTGCTAGGATTACAGGCGAGAGCCACCGTGCCCAGCCTGGTGCATTTCTTATTATCTATATTTACAGTTAGACAAACTGAGCCTCAGAGTGGAGGGGCTGATTGCTCAAGGTCTGTTTTCCATATGAATCCCTGCCTGGTATGTAGCTCGCTCACAAAGGAAGAAAAACTTTCTGCCCAGACTGGAAGGGCAAGGAGAAGCCTGTGTGGCCATGGGAGTGGAGGAAACAGCTAAGCACAAAGGCTCAGAGGCTGGAAACTGCTTAGCCTGTAGGAAGAGCAGCAGGGAGGAACCCCAGGGCTGAAGCAGTGTGATTGAGGGGCAGGTGGCCAGAGAAATGGGCAGAGCCTCCTACGCATGGGGTGACTGATGCGCCAGTGGTCTGCAAAAACAGAGCATCACACCTGTGCGCATGAGCGCTGCTGCCCCTCAGGGGGCCTTCCCTGCCCCTGCAACTAAACTCTGTACAGCCTGACACCCATCTTTCCTCAGGCCAACTTTGGTGTTTGTTGCCCCAGGAGTTGATGTACAGATGCC